GATATGTAGTTATCACAGTCATTGTGATGCAGCTTATACAGTTATGGTATTCTGCTATCTTGTAACCTTATTTTAAAACTGAATAAATACATTTGCAAAAATAAAAAATACATGCTTCCTTCCATTGACCAAGTCCCCTGCACCAGCAAGGTGCTCAAGACTCTTGCCCATTCTAACAGACTGGCATCCCTCATGAGGACCTTCCAGAAGATGGGAAAAAAAGGACTTCCCAGACTGCAGAAATGGACTGGCAATCACTAAGTCAGGGACAACTTCACTGGACCCAAAGGAATGGTCTGTTCTAGGACTTGACAGACTTGTCCCAGAAGAACAGAACTGTGTTGAAGCAGTCTGGAGTAAGGATGAGCAAATGAGACTTCCTGAAAAAGGAGGCTACCAGCAACTCCAGGAATCTCAAGCACAAACAGAGTTGGCTGAATCCTGAACTGCAGGGCTCAAATCTGAGATCTGAGAGTATGGTGTCTCCTGTAGAAAACACTTTGGTCTCGGGTGTCTAGGAGTAGACTTGACAGAAGAGAGGCTGAAGCGTAGGACCATGAACTTGTAATGTCCCACAGCCAATAGTAGTAAATGTATATAAGATGGAATAAGTACATGTAGGAACACATTTCTGATGTACACAAAAGGTCTCCTTTGGAATAGGAAAATGATTACATGCCCAATACTGGCCTGACCTAAAATGTAAAGCTATTTGATACCCGGTACTCAGAGGGGGTTGACTCCACAAAGAATGCAAGACAATCACACAGGAAACACCAGCATTTTAAATGGAGAAAACCTGCATTCAGTGGCCAGAGGGAACAGCTATATTGCAATTAAACATCTTTGGCATGAATCTACCAGCAGTGATTGATAGTAGAACAATCTGCCAATCTAACAGAAAACATCAGAGCTAAAGAAAACATGTATGCTGTTCTGAGGACATTAGCAAAAAGTCATGATGTTTGAGAGAGGAATTATCCTGTACTGGTCAATGGCTATTTTGTTGTACATTTCTCCTGTAGGCGTAGAATTCCTATGTCCCTCAGCAGGTGAGAAAGGGAAAATATTTTGTCTAAAGGTAAACCTAAATTGGCTTCTAACCAATCTGACATTTCAGTTTGCAACTGTGGGCATATCTAGCTGTGGTACAACAATAGACTCTAGATCATTCTGGGACATTGGCTCTTGTGTATGGTTCTATGCTTTGCATAAAATGCTGTAGTGATATAGATATGGGAAATTAGCTTTCTGATAAAGGTTATGACATCAAGACCTTTCTGTGAACAATGACAACAAAGCAGGAAAGTTTGAAGGTCAGTTTTTTCTCAAAGTCCTCTCTCAAAAAATCATTTGATCAAAATGAGCCAGTGTCGTTATTATAACAGCCAAAAACCCTTTGGAGCATTACAGCTTGTTCCAATGGCATTCAACACAGTGTACCTCCTAATGTAATGGCAGTTTTTCCAATTTTCCCCCAGAACAAACTCTTTTGAGTAGGATTGGTCAATTAAATGCCCGAGGAAGCACTAATGGATGAGAGTGCCTGACCGTAACAGCAAGGAGCAGCTGAGAAACTCTGAATTTGCTCTCAACTCTTCACTTTAGCCAAAGGAACGTACAGGGCTATAAAAGGCAAAATCACTGAGCTACAGCATAAAAAAATCATTTCATGAAGAGTGAACAGGCTCCATGTATGCACAAGGCAAAACTACATTATCTATATCCTGTATGCCCTGCACTTTAAAGCAGCACTAGAAAATGTCTGTTTTAGTAAAATACAATGTTATTGAACTAAGCATAACACATACATTGTGCATTTACTAGGTAGATGAAACTTAGATTTGTAGGTGTACAATAGTGTTTTAACATTGAGACAATACAGGCCTATTTTAATGACTAAAGTTGTAATCGCATAAGTATAATTTGCATACTAAGTAATGTGTAATACTCATAGGTATTTATTATGTCTCACAAAGATCATTATAAGAAAAGCCTAAAAAATATCAGAACAAGAAGACTTTTGCATGCTCACAGGTTCAATGCAAGATGTGTATTAGCACACAGGTGCAAATGTATTAGCATGCATGCTAAGCCACACGTGTGCATGCTTGGCATTGCCACCAAACTGCCTATTTAAGCTGGGTTGTGACATCAACAGCTGAGTGGTCTTCAGCTAGTTATTGCTATACCTGTGTCCTGACCTGCTATATCTGCCTTCCCATGCATGGCTTGTATCGTCTCTGACCCGTTTCTGGATTCCTGCCTACCTGTTGTGACCTTGGCTTGTACTCTGACTCTGCCTTACACTTCTGTACTTCACTGCATGGCTGTGAACGTTTGACTTGTGTCCTGGTTTTGCTCATGTCTGCTGATCGAGTGTCACTGCTTTCCAGTCTATATTGTCTGTCTGGTGATCCATGGTCATCTGTATCCTGCAACCAACAGATGACATTGCTACATTTACCCTCATGTCACTCTGAGTCCTCACACCTCCTTCATTACTACCAGGAGGTGTTGGACAAGATGTGCTAGAGAAGCCCCATCTTCAACTCGATCTCCACCAGGTACATGAAAATCACATTACATCCACATCAATGCCAATCTGCCACCAATCTGATTTTTTAACTCCTTTTTTTCACACATTATTCAGGGTCAGCATCTACTTCCTAAATGAAGATACCGATGCAGAGATGATACAGTCATAAAAATACTTGTTGCTGACCAGTGCTTGGCCATGTTCACAAATGTCTGATGCAGATTAGTCATATTATCTTAGACAAAGCTAAGTCACTTGCTTGTTCACCTCTACCAAAAAACTGCCTATGCGGGTAAGCAGCAGCTGTAGATAAAACAAACTGTGCAACTTTGACCAAAGTTACATAGTTAGTAAGGCTGAAAAAAGACACTAGTCCATCTAGTTCAACCAATGAAATAATAAAAAAAAACTAATAGAAAACCTCCATATACACTATACTATACCCACAGTTGGTCCAGTGGGAGGCAAAAAAAAAAAAAAAAAGTAAAGCATGATCCAATTCACTTCAACAGGGGGAAAAATTCCTTCCTGATCCCCCAAAAGGAAAATCAGATATCCAATGCATCAACTACTCCTGGCATTATTACCTGTAAAAATTGTTTATTATGTGCATTGAGAAATGCATCCAGCTCTTTTATAAAACAAAAAAAAATCTAAAAGAAAAAAAAATAATAAAAAAATAAAATCTACAGAGCTGGTCAGAACCAGTTCTTGAGGGAGTCTATTCCACATTTTCACAGATCTTACTGTGAAGAAGCCTTTCTACATGTGAAGGTTAAATCTCTTTTCTTCCTAATGTAAAGAGTGCCCCCTTGTCCTCAGTAATGACATGAAAGTGAATAATGCCACACTAAGTTCACTATATGGACCACTTATGTATTTATACATTTTGATCATGCCCCCTCTTAATCGCCTGTTCTCAAGAGAGAATAAATTCAGTTCAGCTAATCTTTCTCATAGCTGAGATCCTCCATGCCTCTTTTCAGTTTGGTTGCCCTTCTCGGCACTTACTCAAGTTCTCTGATATCATTTTGTGAATTGGTGCCCAAAACTGAACTGCATGTTCCAAATGAGGTCTTACTAATGATTTGCATGGGTGCAAAATAATGTTGCTGTCTCTGGAGTCTCTACCTCTTTTAATACAAGAAAGTATTTTGCTCACTTTAGAAACTGCAGCTTATCATTGCATGTCATTATTATGTCTATGATCTACCAGAACACCCAGATCCTTCTCTACCATTGACTTCCCCAGCTGTTCTCCTCCTAGTATGTATGATGTCAGAGGCGTCCCTAGGGTAGGTGTCACCCGGTGTGGTAACACTTGGCGACACCCCCTCCGATGATCCCCGCAGAATGGATTGGATTTGCGGATTGAGCATAATGGATCGGGCTCCGATCCATTATGCTCAATCCGCAGATCCAATGCATCCTGCGGGGATCATCGGCTTTCTTTACAACTTACCTTTTCTTGGAGCGGGTCCGGTGTCACCCCGTATAGGTTGCAAGCCGATGAGGTTCGTCGGCATGCAATCTATACGGGGTGACACTGGACCCGCTCCAAGAAAAGTTAAGTTGTAAAGAAAGCCGACGATCCCCGCAGGTTCGATCGAATCCATCCTGCGAGGATCGTTGGCTTGCTTAACCACTTTTTGTGGAGCGGGTCCGGTGTCACCCCGTGCGTTCGGTGTCACCAGGTACGGGACCGCACCCCCCGCACCTGCCTCGGGACGCCACTGTATGATGTATGTATGTTTTTAGCTCCCAGGTGAAAAACATGATATTCTATCAACATTAAACCTCATTTGCCACATAGTTGCCAAATTAAACAGTGCATTGAGGTCGGCTTGTAAATTGGAGACGTAAGGACGTTATTCCACTGTATAGCTTGGTGTCATTTGTAAATTACAAAATGGTACTTTTAATCCAAGACCCTATATCATTTATAAACATATTGAAAGGTAAGGGTCCCAACACTGAACCTTGGGGTACACCACTGATGACCCCAGACCATTCAGAGTAGGAATCATTATCACTACTCTCTGAATATGGTCTTTTAGCCAGCTTTCTATCCATTTTCACAGCCCATATCCACAGCCACTCCCTTGTCTAAGGTTTTGTGTACCTCCTCATAAAAAGAAATCAGATTTGTCTGACAACTTCAGTGCTTCATGAATCCATACTGAATATTGCTTAAAATGTTTTTTTTTTTTTTTTTTTTTTTTTTTTTTTTTTAGCAAATACTATTCTATAAGGTCTGTTATTGAACTTTCAAGTATCTTCACAATAATAGAAGTTAAACTTACTGGTCTGTAGTTAGTTATCAAATACCGAATTTTTCGCTCCATAAGACATACTTTCCCCCCCCCCCAAACAATGGGGGGAAATGTCTGTGATTCTTATGGAGCGGCTGGCCCGGGATTCCCGCCACCGCCATGTTAGGATACCAGGCCAGCCGCTCGGCTCTTCTGTGCGCCTCGGTCCTACATGTTTCTCAATTCAGCGTTGTCCTCACCGTCTTCTCTCCCTGGCGCTGGCATCATTATTGTGGGCACCCGACTGTGACAGCTTGGGGCTTCACAGCCGGGTGCCCACTGCGCATGCGCGAGAAGCGCGCACTTTGTGAATGGTCTGGCAGTCTTCTGGGAGGGACAACTCCGCGGAAGTGGGAGCGGGTACCTGTCAAATTCGGGTACCTGCTCCCCCCCCTCTGCTCCCCAAAGGTCCGCAGTCTCTGGTCATCCCCTGTACTATGTCTGCAGTCTCTGATCATTCCCTGTACAATGTCTGCAGTCTCTGATCATTCCCTGTACAATGTCTGCAGTCTCTGATCATTCCCTGTACAATGTCTGCAGTCTCTGATCATTCCCTGTACAATGTCCGCAGTCTCTGGTAATCTCCTGTACTATGTCCGCAGTCTCTGGTCATTTCCTGTACTGTGTCCGTAGTCTCTGGTCATCTCCTGTATTGTGTCGGCAGTCTCTGGTCATCTCCTGTACTGTGTCGGCAGTCTCTGGTCATCTCCTCTACTGTGTCGGCAGTCTCTGGTCATCTCCTGTACTGTGTCGGCAGTCTCTGGTCATCTCCTGTACTGTGTCGGCAGTCTCTGGTCATCTCCTGTACTGTGTCGGCAGTCTCTGGACATCTCCTGTACTGTGTTGGCAGTCTCTGGTCATCTCCTGTACTGCGTACTCAATCTCTGGTCATCTCCTGTACTATGTCTGCAGTCTCTGGTCATCCCCTGTATTGTGTCTGCAGTCTCTGGTCATCCCCTGTACTGTGTCTGCAGTCTCTGGTCATCTCCTGTAGTCTGTCTGCAGTCTCTGGTCATCTCCTATACTATGTCCGCAGTCTCTGGTCATCTCCTGTACTATGTCTGCAGTCTCTGGTCATCTCCTGTACTATGTCTGCAGTCTCTGGTCATATCCTGTACCGTGTCCGCAGTCTCTGGTCATCTCCTGTACTATGTCCGCAGTCTCTGGTCATCTCCTGTACTGTGTCCGCAATCTCTGGTCATCTCCTGTACTATGTCTGCAGTCTCTGGTCATCCCCTGTATTGTGTCTGCAGTCTCTGGTCATCCCCTGTACTGTGTCTGCAGTCTCTGGTCATCTCCTGTAGTATGTCTGCAGTCTCTGGTCATCTCCTATACTATGTCTGCAGTCTCTGGTCATCTCCTGTACTATGTCTGCAGGCTCTGGTCATCTCCTGTACTATGTCTGCAGTCTCTGGTCATTTCCTGTACCGTGTCCACAGTCTCTGGTCATCTCTGTACTGTGTCCACAGTCTCTGGTCATCTCCTGTAGTATGTCCGCAGTCTCTGGTCATCTCCTGTAGTATGTCCGCAGTCTCTGGTCATCTCCTGTACTGTGTCCGCAGTGCCTGGTCACTTCCTGTACTATGTCTGCAGTCCATTGGTTCAGAATATTTTTTTTTCTTGTTTTCCTCCTCTAAAACCTAGGTGTGTCTTATGGCCAAGTGCGTCTTATGGAGCGAAACATACGGTACTTCTATCCCTTTTAAAATATAGCCACCCCATTGGCCAGTTGGGTGTATGCCATCCAGTCCAGGTCCTTTATTCACTTTTATTTTGTCTAAATATTTATGGACATTGTCAATTTTGAGCCATTGTGGATCAATGTCAATATCATTCCCATTAAGGACTTGAGCTGCCCATTTTCCTTTGTATACACAGAGCTGAAAAAGGTATTTCATAAATTTGCCTTCTCTATGTCTCCAATTGAAATGCCCTTGCTCTAGGTGTAGATCATTACCTACCTCATCAAGGTTGATTGAAACTGTCCACTATCACAAGAACAAGCTCGCAAATACTCAGTTCAGAACTACTACATCAGGTAAGAGAAAACACATGTGAGGAGGGTTGAATTAGAAAAAGAACTTGCTCCTGTGATGGTGGAGGTGAACAGTGACATCTGGGCATGTCCTAGCAACGTCCCAGCAACAAGGCAGCATGGGAAGATGCGATCTCGGGGAGTTTTTCAGTCAGACTTAATGAGGTATGTAAATGGCCTACACCTATAACAAGGCATTAATCAACGTTGGTCAAAGCTGCACAGTTTACTTTTTTTTTTTACAAATGCCCATTATATGCATGGGCAGTTTTTTGGTAAAGGTGAACTATGCCTTTAAGTACGTAGAAAAGTATGTAAAGTATGCCTTTAAGGACTGCTTTTTAATGATAAAAGGCAGAACTGTTCTGTATATTGTGACATGGCAGGAATTTATTTGTGCAGTAATTGAAAGATACCAAAAAGCCTATTTTAACATTACATGTAATGGACCAGTATACAGTATCTAAAATGCAAGGTGTGTAATGGATTAAATTCTGGTAAACTGAGCAATATTTCTAATATAGAGGTTTTGTACAATGTGTGCTAATTAGCGATTGATTTCTTAATAATCAGTCAGGGGAAACATGCATGTGATGCTGACCAGTAATTACAGGGTGCACTTAAATACGGTATATGCGTTTTATTCATTTCATTCATCCAATTTCAACAATTACATAGCCTATAATGGTCAGCAAAGGAGGGAGCTGTGCAGCACTAATCCTGTATTTCTAGTCTGACAATGTTTTACATTGCACTTTCATCTTTAGGAAAATTTGTACCAATAGAAAAATCCGTAGGCTGCCAATGCTCTGAGCTACTGACCATGAAACAAACCTGCAGTTACTGCCTCAGAAGCTATTGAAGCCAATATATTACAATGGCAGCCAGGCAACTAGCATTTCCAGGTGGTCAGCAATGACACATGTCAGTGGTGGTAACCTTTAACCGCCTCCCGCCCACCATATAAGGAAATGATGGGCGCAAGGCAGTTCTCTCGTTCTGGGAGGATGTCATATGACGTCCTCCCACTCTAACCGCGCATGCACGCCCCTGGAGGCACACAGCATGGCGATCGGTGGTGCGCTGTGTCCCTGGGACAGAGCGGATCACCTATCAACAGAAAGAGCCGATGATGTCGGCTCTGTCATGTGATCAGCTGTGTCCAATCACAGCTGATCGCATGTATATAAGGAAATGCCAGTTATCTGCATTCCTCTCTTTACGAGCTGTCACGCTGACAGCTCGTGAGGAGAGCTGGTAATCGGCATTCCTCAGAGGGGACATCTACACTGATCATCAGTGTGCCCTGATGGTCAGTGTAGCCCTATCAGTGCAAACTGTCAGTGTCCATCAATGCCACCTGTCAGTGCCCATCAGTGCACATCAATGCCACATAGCAGTGCCTACCAGTGCACATCAATGCCACATATCAGTGCCCATCTGAGCAGCCTTTCAGTGCCACCTATCAGTGCCAGTCAGTGCCATCTATCAGTGCCAGTCAGTGTCGCCTGTCAGTTCCGCCTATCAGAGCTACCAGTCAGTGCCAGCTATCAGTGCCACCTATTAATGCCAGTCAGTGCTGCCTATCAGTGCGCATCAGTGCTGCCTATCAGTGCCGCCTAACAGTGCCACCTAGCAGTGCCAGTCAGTGCCACCTATGAGTGCCATATATGAGTGCTGCCTTTTAGTGCCCATCAGTGATGCCTGTCAATGCCCCATCCGTGCCACCTACCAGTGCTTCCTCATCAGTTCCCATCAGTGTCGCCTATCAGTGCCCATCAATGCAGCCTCATTAGCGCACATCAGTGAAGGAAAATCACTTATTTACAAACTTTTATAACAGAAACTAAGAAAAAAAATTTTTCATTTTCAAAATTTCCAGTTGTTTTTGGTTTGTTTAGCAAAAAATAAAAAAACCCAAAAGGTGATTAAATACCACCAAAAGATAGCTCTGTTTAAAAAAAATTATAAACATTTCATATGAGTACAAAGTTGCATGACCGCACAATTGTCATTCAAAGTGTGACAGCGCTGAAAGCTGAAAATTGGTCTGGGCAGGAAGGGGGTATAAGTGCCATATTGGCAAGTGGTTAAAAATGCTTTTTTTTTTTTTTTTTTTTTTTAATGCATGGCCCACCTCAAACAAATAGCAGCCTGAGACACCACTGTTGCCCCAGAAGGTGCCATTTAAAGGAAGAAAGAGCTTTCTTGCCCATTGTATAATTCTTTCTTTGCCAGGTTTCCATCTAAACAATGCAACAAGAATAGTTCACTTTTGTATAAATGAACCAATTTGGCAATAAAAGCATGGGGATTCATCTGTGGAGTAAATTTCCTTTAAACAATTTAAGATGCTGATTCTCTATTAGACTCAAGCATTATGGAACTGGAGGAATGTAACCCTTTAATTAAACTGGTGAATGGGGGGAGTAGAGCAGAAGTACGGGCATTTCAAATAAAAATTTTTTTAACCTGCCTCTTGCTGATTCACTGAAAAGAAGGTAGCAACTGTCACAAAAATCACGTTAGTGAAACAGTGTATACACAGGTAAAAGGAATTGTCAGTTAGTACAGTGATAAAGGTAAATAAAATTGTGCATCCAAATTTGTGAGAAAATGGTCCTGACCATTGATGGCAGGATTCCTGGCAGCATGTCAGTTGGTTTGTAATTAAATCTGGACTTGAGATAGTGTGTCTTACCTATACATTTATTAGCTGTAAACAATGGCTACTAGTGCAGGTCCAGGGGTTTGGCCTACTGCTAACATTCAGGAAACTTTTTCAGCCTCTTTGCATGAATCTCTCAGTCTTTAGTGGCACAAGTCAGATTAAGACCTGAAGTATCTGTACAGTCACATTATGCATAGTCTTATGACATGGGCTAGGGTGGCATATTGTGGGACCATGTTACCCCCTCATGACTGGCTATTGTAGTCAAACAACCTATCAGGACACTTGTTCTTTTTAGAAGACATTTTCAAATGCCCTTGTTTGTACTGTGCATAAGCGTGTCAGGTTCAAATGAGGCCAGCTGAACCAATCACAACAATCACAGTAGAACGCACTGTAGTAGTCAACAAACATCAAGCCCTCCTCTTTCTTTCACAATGACTAAGTAGCTTGTTAAAAGAATGAAATAAAAAAAATGAATCATTGAAATCAATGAATGAAACATTTGCCCTGTACCTGTGTAGCAGAATACAAGGTCCATACATATTGCATGTGTACTTTCCTTTACTGTAGGGAGTCTCCAAACTAAGGGCCAGTCCAGGGCCCAGCATCAGTGATAATTAGCATGCCATCAGGGTTGGTGGTTAGTAGTAGGAGGAGGAGGCGTAGCGACCCATCATTGGTATTAGTGGGAGGAACAGTACACCATCATTGGAATCAGTGTAAAAACAGTGCCCCATTGTTGGTGTCAGTAGGAGGACTAGTGCCTTGTATCATTTGAAGGAATAGTGACCCAAAGGCCAGATAAAGGCTAGCAAAGTGCCTCATCTGGTCCTCAGGCAGCATTTTGGAGACCCCCTGCTCTAGTGTGTAGTAGTGTACTGTAGTTGCTACATATCAATGATAAATCTATACTGGACAACTCACCAGCTGGCCAATCGATGAATGTAAAATATATAATCTTTATTTAAATATACAGAAAATGTGTGTTCAGCTGTAATTAATGCCTATTGGAGTGGAATGTACCTTGCACAATAATATGACTGGGATACTATTGCAATTTATCTTACATCCAAATGGTTAATAACACCAGACCAAATCAAATACCATATAATTTTAGATTAAGTGATGGCATACAAAGAGGCACTGTAGTTTGATCATTAGCCTATGAGCTTGAATATATAAACTCTGTTAAGGAAATGGATGTTACCCCATAGACAAAACTAATTAGATAGTATAATCTATCTCGCTACAGATATGTAATATGGGTACACTCATCCACGGGCTTAAATGTCAGCCTCTCATGGATAAGCCCCATACATCACCATATCCAGACACACAAGATATGCTATATAATGGTATGAACTGTAATTTTGGTCCTTAATTAGTGGGACATTAACAGTGTTTGAGAGCACCAGCAGTGTCTATTGTGTTGTGGACTGATGTGCTGCTGTGGTGTTGTGTTATTTTATCCACAAGATGGCATCTGTTGAGATACTGAGCATGTGCAGTTTTTTGTCCACAAGATGATGTCTGCTGAGGAACTGAGCATGTGCGGGGGCCATTTTGATGACTCTCT